TATTTAGCACACCATTTGTCTAGTCTTTTTTTAGCTTGATTACAAAGCGTAAATTGAAAAAATCTTCTAAAAGATGGTTATGTCGACATTTTAATATGTACCTTTCATTGATTGATAACCGGAGCAGTGAGTCCTATAGGATGGTTGCATTGAAACTAGATACAAAGGCTCGTGTTAGTATAGACTCAATAATTATATTAAAAGCGATTTTATGCATTTTTTTAATTTTAATTTATGTGACTTTTTTTAATCTGTCTAAAACAAAAGACATATTTTTTTATTTGACAAATATCAATATTTTACTCATATTAGGTCTCATTTATTTAACAAAAAATTCATTATATTGATATGAGACCAAACTATTAGTGAAAAACATTTGTAAAATGCTTATAAAGTATATATAGACATTAAAATTTCAAAAATATTCTCGGAATGGATCAAACACAACAATGAAGAGGTTTGAAATTCCAAAATACCTCGACATGAAGTAGACATATCGATGAAGAGATGTCTGCTTCTAGACTCTTATTAGAATTGACTTATCTAATTCCTAAAATGGGTAAAAAAATCATTTACGCTCTCCAACTTGCTTTAAAAATCAAGTTCCCTCCTTTGACTATGAATTATAGATATTCTTCCCCTTTATTTTATGCAGCATCTATTTTATTTTTTATATTTTTAATCTTCCATCGATATACAGTAAAATTTTATTAAATTAAATCTTGATTAATTAAAAACCTCTTTAACATAATATTTTCTTCCAGTTTTGACTTGGGTCAATGGAAAAAATTACTCGTTTCGATAAGATAATAAGATAATATATTTTCAGAAGACCCCTATATAAATATATGGTTTCATTAATATTATAAATTAATAATTCTTTAAAAGAACAAATATATTTAAGACAATTTAGTGAAATATGATTCTATTGTATTATGTTTTTTGTTAAAATTTAAATCTAGTTGAAGCTTATATCTAACGTTTCTTATTGCATCCAAAAGTTTTGGTGTTGGTTTTTCAAAGTGCACCATAAAATTGTGAAGAGTTCTAAATGTGATCAGTGTTTCCTTGCGCGTAATTGGTTCCAAAGGTATTGTATCATCTTCAATCTTATCATCATCAACATTATTTTTTTCAATAGCATCCAGAATTTCTTCTAAGCTCTAGACCTCTGAACATGTATCATTTTCACCCATCCAACAGGTTATTAACGTCTATTCTATTGCAGTAAGTGAGATCATTAATCATGACCTCAAGTTCATGAATGAAGTTTTCACAAGTGGGTTCATTTAAATTCTATGAGATTTAATTCCCGAACGAATTTTGCGGTAACAAAACATTCTTTAAATTAATAAATATTAATTTACCGATTAAATAATACCTCTACAAAATAATTATATTACATGGTATATTAATTTAGTGAGGTTTTATTGTAATATATATTTATATTGTATAATTTATTTTTCTCAACCTATGTATTTAATAATTTTTATTTGAGTTCTTTAATACTATAAGTAGAATAATCCTTTTATGGATTTTTCACAAAATTTAATGTTATTTTTTTCTATGTTTGTTGTTTTAGTTTTACAAGTAATAATAACTATTAAGTATGTATTAAATGCAAGTAATAAGTAATAAATGAGTTTCGATGGTTAATAATGCAATATTTTTTAAAATATAAATAGACAAAAAAAAATTTAAATTGTTATAAAACATACATCTATTTTTATTAATTATTTTGTATTATCTACTTTGAAATATATTTATAAAAAAAATTATTACCTATTATTTTTAGAGGAACTTTCGCATATAGTCACCCAAAAATAGCCTAATTACACTCCATAGCTATAGTTTACTAATTACGATTCGTAGCTACATGTTAGAGGGAGGAGAGTGGCGAGCGAGATTGGGAGAGGGAGGAGAGAGGCAAGCGAGAGAGGGTAGAGAGTGGGAGAGAGGTGAATTGTATATGTATATCGGTTAGATAATTGTATATTATACATATGTATTTGTATATTCTGGAGAGAGAGAGATTGGGAGAAGGAGGAGAGAGGCGAGCGAGATTGAGAGAGAGATGAGAGAGGCTAGCGAGATTGGGAAAGGGAGGAGAGAGGCGAGTGAGATTGAGAGAGAGATGAGAGAGGCGAGCGAGATTGTGAGAGGGAGGAGAGAGGCGAGCGAAAGAGGACAATAATTTATATAATTCGCAGGTACGTTTGTATAATTCGTGTGTTTTTGTATAATTGAGTAATATAAAGTCTGGAATTATACAAATATAATAAAACTCGAAATAATGAATTGATACAAACATAAACATATGAACTTTAAATAATTATACAAAAATATATTATACAAATTACATTATATAAATTATATTATACAAAATCCGAAAACTACACGTTTATACAAACATTAAAAAGTTATACACAAAAAAATTGAATGTATATGATGAAAAAACTAAAAAACCAAAGGAAATCATCGTCATATACAAATACAAATCATCATATACAAATACAAATCAAACAAAGAATTGTTAGTTGCGAATTATACAAATGTGGTGAATTATACATATACAAACTTGAAGTCAGCCCACGTAATTAATAGTTAATGTTAGCCGTGAGTGGTACTTATAACAAACTATAGTTATGATGAATAATTAAGTAGTATAGTTTGCTTAACCGCGTAATTTTCCCTTATTTTTATTTGTATAAATAGATATTCAAAATTTTAATTAATTTTTTATTCTATTCATTTATTTCATTATAAAACGTCATACTTATATATTCGTATTTTCTTCTTATTTTTCATCTTAAAAATATTATTTATTATTTAATAGAAATGTGTGGCGTTGGGATTGGGTTTCACCGGTGGAGTTTTGGTAGAATTGTGACTTTTGACTGATTATATGATATAGCTTGGTCCATATGGCATGATATTAGACTTGTAACAGAAATGTACAACTATTCAAGAATGAGGTAGTTGGCTCATCCCATCACATATTTCTTTCAAATTCCCCCCACATCATAAATATATATTTAGTATATAGTATGTACCAACCATAAGTATATTACATCATAAGTACATAGTATAGTACCAACCATTTGTTCTTTTTTTTTTCTTTTGTTAAATCTAGAAATGTAACTAGTAAACCGACATCATAACAATAATATATTAAGTATAATTTCACACATGAGATATAGAAAGGTATGGAAATTTTACTTTTGTCTTTGTGGGGTAAAGAGGTTGTTTGTGATAGACCACTGGCTCAAAAACAAAAACGACGCAGGAAAGTAAGAATGGAAAAAAGACAACAAAATAGGAGTATATTAATACACAACAATGACATACCTAGTTAATCCCACACGTGGAGTTTGGGGAGGATAAAGTGTAGCAAACCTTAATACCTAAATCATACTATTGGTCATTGGAAGTATGACAACACTGGGAATCTTAGTAGCTTAGTTGGTTGGTACCTAAACTCCCACCATTTTGGTGAGGGTTCGATACATCACCTTGTAATCCCCTCTGATCTCCATTTCCCTTTCCCCTGCCCCAAATTAAAGAGAGAAAAAATATGACAACACTCAACTATCCATTAACTTTCTACCATAATTCTCGACCTTCATATCTTCCTATCTAAGGTCACTTCTACACCGAACCTCTCACATATCCTTTTCTCCGCATCCTCCCACCATCTCTTCACATATCTGAACCATCTCATTCTCACTTCTCTTAATATTTGAGCATCCTCATCTTTGTTCTCTTCATCAATTGAACATGGACACTCTTGACTGATCAACACCCTGTCTCATACAATAGTGTTGGTCTAACCACCATTCCGTAGAATTTAGCTTTAAACCTTGTCAGTATATTCTCATTGCACAACACCCCAAATGCGAGCCTCCATTTCACTTCTCCACTCTAGTATGATGTGTGATATAACCATAACCAGGCGTAGCTACATGATTGTTAGAGTGTCCAATTGGACACCTTTCGTCTGAAAAATATTATTGTATATACAAGTAAAATGATACATAAATTAATTAAATACATATTTTGGACACCCTTAACACAACCAGTAGTTTTAGATGCTTGGAATTAGGTAGTGTGCGCGTGTTCGAATCTCACTAGTTCTACATTTTGAAAAGAGCTTTTGTTGTGCTATTCTGGACACCCTTTGTGAAATTTCTGGCTCCGCCTCCGCCGCTGATCATAACGATATGCAACATTAACATTAATCGTCTCGTCTCCTTGGATAAATTCCTAGCTCTGCCACTGATCATAACGATATGCAACATTAACATTAATCATCTCGTCTCCTTGAATTATGAAGATACTTGAAGGAAGCAATAATATTAAGACCCATTTAACCATACAACATAAAAACAACATGTAATGTCTCAATTTAAAGAGTCTCCAAAGCATAAGATTAATAAAGCTCACAGTTTTGGAGCGAATCTAACGTTCTTTATCAAGTTTCGAAAGAAGCAAATTTTCATCCATGGCCAAAACATGGGTGACATTTTTTGGTAAACTGGTCCTCCATTTGCACCCATTTCTGCTTCCATATCTGTAACGAAGAACATTATTTCAGAAGTTTTTGCCGTCAAATCTCGTTATAACAATCATTTGTTATGTTTATAATGATATGTTTATTTCATTTTGCATAGTTTTAAGATATTTTTTACCCTTCTACAAAACAAATTACCTTGGAACTTTTTTCAATAATTCAAATTATATGATACTACAAAACTATAGAACACGCAACCCCATTATTATTCCTATACATAACTAAGCTACAAATTTCTGAAAGTAGAGAAAATGCAAAGCATCTGGAGATGGAAGGGTATAACTTTAGACCAACATTGTAGTATGATAATTGTGATATTTCAAACTGCTTATGCACGAGGTAAAGAGTCAAAAGCATAGAAGCAAATATGAGTCATTCCCAAAATAACTGATATTACACAAATCAGAAAAATAAATTAGAAAAAACAGAATAAGCTGATAAAGAAGCTTTTGCCATTTAAAATTTACATGAAAGGCATTGATATATTTTCACTCTGATACCCAACATTGCTAAAAAAAAAACCATAGCAGCAGGGAAGGATTTCAGGAACTTGTGGCAACTAAGACTCAAAAGTGAGCTTGTGTGTTTACTCTTCCGCTAGTTTCTGTCCAATAAACGTCCCAGCAATGCAAATAGTTCAAACTGGAACATCTGCAGAGGTAAGTTGATTTATACAATAGGCAGATTCTACCCATGCAATTAGTTCATAATCAATCACAATATTTTGTGGCAACACAACGGATAATAAACTGGTAATGGAAATAACTACTACGCTAAAGTATATGCAGAAGTCTTCTAGCATTGTTTTTCTGTAGAAGGCTTGACCAGCAAGAGGAAGTGTTAGACGAAGCCAAAAGAAGGATTGCCTAAATTCTCCTGCAGCATCCATCCTTCTGGTATTATTAGCTATACCTTCATTTTGTTCAATCCCCCAGTAGGAGAGGAAATAGTCATTTGCAGATTTGTGTCACTAGATGAATCTTTAAAGTACAAGCTCTTTCCAAATTATCCATCTCAGGATCTGCAAAGGATTAAGCAGGAATTTGTTGTATGTTTTTGTTCTTTAAACAACTAGATAAATGACAGTGGAATCCCCAATCTTTGTTAAGCCTCATGAGAAGGGCCATCTACGACAGATGAAGCAGAAAAAGAGGGAAACCAGAGTTCTATGCGGGTTCCTCCGGTTCCAATTGCAGCATCTGTTACTCTTGGTGAGATCACCCGCACTACACATCCATAACTCTCCAGTATTTCTCGAGAAACAGTTAGTCCAGCCACAAAGTTCCATGTCATGTTGTCCTCTACCCTATCTTCAGAAAATAAGTCTGCCCCAAAAGGTGCTAGAGAGTGCATCTGCGTCTATACAAAAGTAAAAAGACACAATACTTCAATTCTATCACACACAAGCCACTTGATAAATTTAGTCATGAGCACACTCCTTTGCTATTATTAAGTTCATATTCGCATTTAAGTGCCACATTTTATCATCTTAATATCAGGCATTGTCTCGGTGATCATGATATTGAATAGATTTCATGACACATACCATATAGTGCATATCAAGGCCATCATCGTCAATTATAACAAGAGCACCCCCTGCAGGTGCTCCGCTTGCAATGATTTCAACCTTCCCACCAGCTTGTATACGCAATAAAGCACCCTCGATCAAATTACCCAAAGCCTGGCGTAGAGCAGGCTCTTCAATGGGTACCTGTAAAGATCTTGGAACCTCAGAAAGTAAAACAGCTCTCTTCTGCTCGTGTGCTAAAGGCACCACTGCTCCCACCAAATCCACCAGTACATCAGAAATGTTGCATGGTCTTTTGAGGAAGGAGATGACAGGAAAAGATGAAAAAAGAAGGAATAGTCAGCATTCTCCAAAATCAAAGTGTTGTTCCACAAGCTAGGCACCAACACACAATTAAAGACTCCATAAATCATCATATGGCATCAAACTAGAAAAAAAAGGACAATCTGCATAGTATTCCCAGACTCGTCGCCCAATACAAGAAGCATCAATATAGGCAAGCTTAAGGGAGAAATAGGATGGAAAGTGTTAGCACCCTCTTAAGTCTACCAAAGGTTCACACATGCAAATTTTGAAAAATAAAAAAAAATGATGACTTCATCTTGTCTGTTAGTTATGTTTATTGTTTCCTATTTCTTTGTAGCAGTGGTTTGCAGTAGGGAGTTATTTCTCCACTTTCTCATTCCAATAGTACTTGCTCCATCCCAATTTTTGTCACTCTTTCCTTTTTAGTCAGTTCCCAAAAGAAAAGACACATTTCTACATATAGTAACAATATAAATTTAAAATGTCCATTTTACCCTTAATGGGGTGATATATAGCCACAAAATATTAATGGCTTATTCTAGACCGCAAGTTTCAAAAGTTTTTCTTTCTTTCTTACACTCCATGCTTAGTCAAAACACCAGTACATAAATTGGAACAGAGGGAGTATTAGGAAGTTGTTTCCTTATTTTTAGGCAGTTATTTGAATTCAATAAAATGTGTGCAGAAAATTATTCCAGTTTTTTAGTACTTTAACTCGAGAGATTGCAGGTCCTCTCTTAACCAATCAGCACCACAGGTTACAAGAAGAGAACCATCTCCCGAACTCCTAATCTACTCCATAATAACACTGATTTTGTGTTGCAGTGTCCGGCAACCACAAAAAGGAGAACCATCAAGCAAAAATCTCAGGAAGTTGACGGTTGGAGGACGAGAGTAGGAAATATTAGAATTATTTAGTATGTACCGTGCTGTCATATACATAAACATTATTTGAAGCTGACATAATGCAATAGCTTTCGAGACCATAGGTCTCTAGAACGAAAATAGTTTGAAAGCCAAAAGTGTACCTGATTCCCTCCTGGCGTAAAGGGGCAAGAGCAATAGGTGGCATTGGCATTTCTAGATCCTTGGATTTTAAAGAGAAAGATTCTAGCTTTTGAGACAAGTTATCGGATAACTGTGACCTCACCGACTCATGATCAGGATGAGTTGATTTAGGCATCCTTTTCAATGTTTCTTCACTATAGCGCATTATATTAGCCTGAAAAAGGTATAAGCCAATATATTCAATATTTTATCTTTGTTATTCTCAAAATCACCAATAGGCAAGACAAAAATTAAGGCAAACAAAGCTGGCGAAGTGTAAATGAACCTTCAACAATCATTGGACGTTTATCTTTTGCAATTATTCTAAGTGCTTTTTGATAACTTCAATCTGTTAGTACTATGAATATCCTCCAGAGCTAGATATTTTAGTTCATGACAAGAGTTTACGTCCTCTTACACCGTCCTGTTGAAGCTGCCAACTTGCTCTTAGCATTGAATGAACTCAATTTGTACCCTTTCCAAGTTTCCGGGAAAGTCATAGCTGTTTTAAACATATAAGGGGGCTCGTCTCAATCTTTCTCCCTCCTTTCTCAGTCAGAGTCACACAGAAGAACAGTGTGAGAGAGAGAGGCACAGTTAGTGAAGTACCTTTGTTAAGGAAACAACATCCTGGAGTCCCTTAAGAGTATCACTCAAGCAATCACCTTGCTCCAAAATGTCTTGAACAATGTCATATGAAATCTGCATAGGGTCATATGAGTAGATTAACTCTTCATTAGAAGTATGATTAAAAAAAAATTCACTAAAAAGTAATCGATTATTTGGGGGCAAAAGAAAGTGAAGCAGGATAAAGAAAAAATTGGGGATGTAAATTTCTTGAGCCATATACCTCACTCTTTCTAATCTGAACAGATAACATCTTACTCAAAGTTCGAATACTGGAAAGAGAACCCCGAATCTGCACATTAAAGATTCATAAAAAAATGATTATTTTCTTAATCTGTATAGTGTACATTGTCACCACCTCAAACTGCTGGCATATATAGGTGCAGCTGCAGTGCAAATCTTACTTGCTCAACCAAGTTGCTCATCCTGATATTATTTTGCCAGGTGGACTGTTGGAGCAGAATTGATTTCTGAAAGGGTCGCATTAGTTAGTTTTAGAACAAAAATATATCAAAGATAGATTTATGACAAAACTACTGTGCATGACTGGAAAGTAAGAGAACAAGAATAATAAATAACAAAATGCTCAAAGAAGAAATCATTTCATGGCAATAAACACAAAATAGTTAAAAGGATGTAATAGTGTCAACATTATAGACGTATATGTCAATATTTTCGTTATATTTAGGATCTGTTTAGGTTTGGTTCCGTCTCTTTTATTTCCATGGTGGTAACAAACATATACAAAGATTCATTAAGTTCAATCAGATACTACTATTACAAGTTTTTGGATGTTAGAGTAATTACATATTTTAGAAGAAATAATTATATATAAGAGGAATGTAGATCAATGCAGTGAATTCTAGACATCATATATTTTTTAGCACCTTTGTCATATCAGTATTGTACCTGATCCATGACATAAGCCATTGCAAGTGAACGAGAAATATTTATTGCATTTAATCTTTGCTCAGCTGTAAATTTTAACATCTCAAAGGAGTGGTCACTTGAAGTTTTGATATTCAATGATTTCAAATCTGTGCTAGGAGGTAAAGGAAAAGTCTCCTCCTGGGCAGGCCATCCTTTAACATTAAGCCCTCCCTTATCCCATGTAGTGCTTGGGAGTTCCGCAACTAAAAATCCAACAATAAATGGGTGTTTCAACATAGGGAACACCACAGCTCCAAGCTCGGGAAGTAACTCTGCCTAAGATGAATAGGACTAGTCAAACACAGTAAAGTCATAATTCAGTGCAAAATAAATTTGAAGAATTATTTGATGTACCTCTTGCCTTGAAAGAGCTGCTTCAGCAATTCTTAAGCCTGCTGGAATGCTAAAGTTACCAATTAGAATCACTAGATCAGTAGCATTAACACGTGGATGTAAAATAACCCGCTGCAACTCTAGGCGGTCCATTACATAGCTACCAGCTGGTCTTACATAAACCTGCAATTCACTAGATTAGCACAAGCAAAGTAGAAAGGCAAAATTGTTTCAAGTCTATATCTCCACAAGAGCCAGGGGACTTTCCTCTTTAGTTTTGGTTTTGGTTCTTGACCTTCTATAATTTAGAAAATCCAAAAGAAAATAGGACAAAGATAATCCGCTGTTCACAACACATGAAACCCAACCAAACATGGGAGATGTTGAGAGTTATCAAATGAAACAAAGTAAAATAGAGTTTAAGCAAAGTACTGTAGTAAGAATAAAATAACTTGGTTTCATTTGATTTGTCAATGTTATATTGTTAAAGGATAATAAGATAGTTAGAATTCCTTTATCTTCTCAATCTAATCACTTATATTGTTCCAAACAGAACTTTATTTTTGAGCATCCAATCCAGTGTCACAAGTTTATCTAACCTTCTGGATCAGTGTCACCAAAAGCAAAAAGCGCAAAAAAGCCCTAAGGTTCATTGGGGCTTAATCGTAAATAAAGTGTGGGCTTTAATGAAAAAAGGCGCAAAGGGAGAAAATGATAAAAGCAAAAAGCGCAAAAAAAGTTCCAAGGTTCGATATATATATATATTAATTATAAGCAGGAATGACAAAATATATGAACAAAGAAATTAGAAAGATATTTCGATAAAGTGAAATATCAGTTATTTAGTATCGCCTTTTCAGAAGAGGCTCATTGGCAAGGAAAAATATACCTTAGAAGCTAGATGACGAGATTGAAGTGCACATTAAGTGAGGCGAAGCGCTCAACATGTTTTGAGCTCGCTTCAAGGCTTAAGTGCACCTTTAAAAACACTATTCTGGACCACTCCCTTATGAGGACTCTAGTTTGTCCATACTTTTAGATTATTTCTAATGGGTTCAAGAAAACTGGTGAAAATGAAAGAACAAAATAATGTGTGGAGGAGGATAGAGATTCAGGTTGCCCGAAGTAGGACCAGTTGATGATATCCACAAGAGGGGTTGTAGTCCTAGGAAAAGTATACTTCACCTTTTTTTTTCTTTTTTTTGATAAGATAAGTGGTATTAATAATAGCATCAAGAAGATGCAAAATTTACAAGATATGGCATTTGAGCTTACAAAAAAATCTCTGGCTAACTATACAAACTATCTAAGCCAGAGCTAATGAGTTAGTAAAATCCTGAAGTTGTTCTGCATTAACAGCAGGATACAAGTTGGACCAACTAAACAAATTTTCAATGCACCTAGTCTTCAAAATGCCTAAAGCAGTTGACTCTCCATCAAAACATCTCTTGTTCCTCTCTAACCAAATACACCAAAAATACAAGCAGGTATCATAATCCAGATCTTCTTGATGGTCTTTGTCAACTTTCCATAGACTCCAACTCTCATATGCATCCTTAACAGTGAGGGGTGTGGTCCAATTGATGCCAGAGAGACAAAAAAATGTGCTACATAATTCTGAGGCCACCTCACAATGAAGAAGAAGGTGTCTGGGGTTTCAGCCTCTTTTTTGCACATATAGCATCTGTTTGGGAACTGGATTTTTCTTTTCTTTATGTTGTCTTGGGTGAGACATGCCTCATATAGAGCTATCCAGGTAAAAAAAACTACCTTAGATGGTAGCTTGGTCCTCCAAATGAGTTTCCAGGGGCAGTTAGCTATAACGGGGTTTCTAGAGCACAACTATTGATACCCGTCCTTGACTGTATAAACTCCTTTCTGGTGTCCCCATTTGAGCTTATCAGCTGCCTGGAGATTAATGTGACAATGTTGTAGTCTAGCAAAAAGGTCTACCAGATCATTCACTTCCCAATCGTGCATATTCCTTCTAAATCTCAGATCCCAATTGATCCCTTCTCTATTAGCAGCAATAACAGAATTGGGATCTCAATTCTATACAGATCTGGGAAATCCTCCTGAAGAGTGGTATTTCCAAGCCATTTGTCTGTCCAAAATTTTAGGAGTAAACCATTGCCCAATTCAAAGTAAGCGTTCTGATCAAATGTATCCCACAACATCCTAATACTCTTCCATAGTCCCACTCCGTAAGGAAGTGTAGTAATATTTGAGCACCATTGATTCAACCTTTCATGCTTAGCTATGATGACCTCTTTCCAGAGCCCTGCGTCTTCCAAGTTGTATCTCCAAAGCCACTTCATCATCATACTTTTGTTGTGGGCTGCAAGGTTCTTAATGCCAAGACCTCCTTGGTATTTTGGTTGTGTGACCTTCTCCCATTCGATGAGATGAAATTTGTGTTTCTCCCTGTTGCCTTTCCAGAGGAAGTCCCTTCTTATCTTGTCAATCTGTTCTATAACCTCACTTGGCATTGGGAGCAAGGCCATGTAATAAGTAGGTAAACTGTCTAGAACACTATTGATAAGTGTTACTCTACCACCAAAGGAGAGATATTGCATTTGCCATGTTGCCAACCTCTCAAACTTTTCAATAACCCCTGTCCAAATTTCAGTGGATTTAAATCTTTCATAAGATGTCTTCCCTACTAGGCTATCAATGGATCAACCACTACTCCCGACTTGATTGCAACTCATCCAATTGGCCATTTGAGATGACTTTACTCAGTTGGGTCTACCTGCTAGTACTGATTTTTAGAAATTTGTTGCAGTGGAAGATAAAAACTGCCATGTATCAGTGGGTACGCCGAAAATTCATGTTACAGTTCTTGTCTAATAACAATAGAACAAAAAAAGAGAAAGAAATCATGTAACAGATTACAAAAGTTAATTTAAAGAAGTCTTTGGGTTTACAATCTCTATAGTATCTCTAGATCTAAAGAGAGCATCATGTCATTCTTCTCTACCAGCACATACTGCCAGATAATGGAAGAAGAGTGAAAGTTCCTTGAGACACTTAAGCTCCACTACCATTGCCTACTGCTCATGGTGGAAGCTCGTTTTCTTAAAAAGGAAAAGTAGAGCATGTTGCATGCTACAGTATTGCTCAACACTAGACTTCCCTTATCAACTTTGACCTGAAAGGAAAATGAACTATATTCTACTTAACACCAATGTAATTGCCGAAGAGCAGAGAAAACAAAAGTACAAGCACTAATAGGCAAGCGCAGCACAGAAACTAAACTGAAAATTTCACTGTATTAGACCTTCTTGCACTCAATTCAGGAAATAGGAGACCTAATAAAAGGCACAATGAACTTAATAACGGCTAAAGCGGTACAGATTGCTGAAGACTATAGCTGGAAGAATGTAGAAAATTATCTTAACTCAAAAAGTAGAAAAGCAAGCAGAGTTTCGTACAGTAGGTAAGAACTGCTTAAATTCATGATCCAAAGCATTACACCCAGCAATAATAGACATAAACATAAAGATGCTTAAGCTGATGAAACTAACTTGTAATATAGAAATGTTCTTTCGATCAAATCATTAATTGAAGGACAAGGAAAACGTTTCTTACGGAAAGAACAGAGTCAGGATGAACTATACGGCGAAACAGCTCCAATTGTTCAAGGCACAGTCTCTGAAAATCAACACTGGGTAGCACCAAACCTCTATTTTTACCATCATCCTTTTCAATCGTCTGAATGAACTCCACCGGTGACGTCGACGCATTCCGTATCGCCGCAGCAACAGCTGACGCCGAAGTAACCATACTGTCTCCGTCTCCGTCTCCATCGTCATCGGAGCACGTGCCACTCACGTGCCGGAGAGTAGTGGAGGAGGTAGCGGCGGCGTTGGTGAGAGTGAGTAGTGGTAGCCTATGGGAAGAAGCGTGAATAGTTGAAGTTGCTGCTGCTTTGTAGAAGATAGCGGGGGAGAAGAGGAGGGTAGGGGGGTAGTGAGGGGGTGGGGTGGGATTGGATAATGGATTCTGCGGAGGCAATGCAGAGAGCAGCATTTTCTTTATGATCGGATTTCAATGCGAATGCTCTGTTTGAGAGGAAAACGGTCCAATGCCGTCGCTCAATTGGTCCACGAGGGTCTTATAAATGTGGGTCCAACTAGCAACTAATTTTATTTCTCTTTCCTTATATCTTTTTTTTTTGTACATTCATTTTTTGAAATACAATTAAATACAGATAGATACATAAAATATAGTATTATAAATCAACTAGGGAATGTAGCCGCGCTTCGCGTGCGCATTAAGATATGTGTTAGAATTAATTTTCTTTCCGATTAATTATATACTCTACTATATTATATTGTCCA